GCACAAAGAGGTGCTGCTTTTGCCGTTCACATCTGGGCTGCATTAAAAGCCAAGCCATTACCTTGGGCCTCCGGCTTCCAGACCCTGGGATGACATCAGAGGTTCAGCTTTTATTGGAAAAGGGGGAGGAAAACAAGAAAAAAAAAAAAAAAGGGATATTTTATTTGGGGCAGCCTGCCTGGGCAGCAGGGTTCTGCTACCCCAGCACCTCAAAACTCCCCGGGTGCCCCCCAAACCCTGGAGAGCTGCATCCAGCCCCTCTCACCCCTCCCCGGTCCCCCCGTCTTCTCTCCCTCGCCGCAGTCGGTTTGTTGCCCCGAGCGAACCCGGCTGGAGCACGTGTCCTTCGCCGGGTCTTTAGATGGATTTAATTACACCGGGGCAGCTTTCCTAATATAGACCCGGCCTGGGCGATGCCAGGAGAGCCGGGGATAAATCGGTCCCAGGGCACAGACAACCCCATTCATCTTGGCGGGTAAACTCTGCAATTCCGGCGATTTTTGGCAAACCCCAGCCAGAGGGAGAGGGGATGGAGGGATGGGGGAGACTAAGCGTGGGGTCCCCGTTGTCCCCACCCCGCTGCTGGCGAGGGACTGGGGAGATTTCTGCAGCTTCTTACATGTTCCTGTGGGCTGCGGTTATTTTGGCTGTCTGCCGGCGGGGGGGTCACGCAGGGCCAAAGGTTTCGAGGCGTTCCTGTGTTGGAGGGGGGTGTGTGGAAACTGAGGCACGGGGCTTGTTGATGGGGGTGGGTTTGGGGTGTGTCTCATCCCCTTCTTCCTCCCCACTTGATTTTTGTGGCCGTGCTACTTTCAGTTATTTCTCTTGATTTATGCAAGTAAAGTCAGCACCAGCTTTGTGGCCCGATTCTACCTTGTTGGTTCTTGCCTGGGGAGGGGGTGTGTGCGTGTCTGGAAAGTGGATGAGAAAAATAAGAGAAAATCTGGGGCCTGGTGCGCCCCCCGGTCTGATCTCCCCTCGAGGCACTGTAGGGGGTGGGGGTTTACCATCTCTTTTCCCCCTTCATGATGTTTTGGGGTTCTGAAGCTGGGAGTGTGTGGAGACGTGTCCCGAGCTGCCGGGCTCCCTGCTTTATGGGGGGGCTCTTTCCATCTCCCCCTCCCCAATTAATCCCTAAGGGACCTGGTGAATTAACTGCAGAGATCAGCTGGATCCCAAACTGCTCCTGCCTCGACCTCCCAACCTGACAGGTCTGGGAGGTGAAGTGGGGTGGGGGGACCAGTCCTGGCTGTGCTCCCCGTGTCCTTTAACGTACCTTGCTCGGATTTGGGGTTCGGGGGGGCAGGTGTTGCCCTTCACTGGACTGAAGCAGAGGCAGGAGGGAGAGATGGTGGTTTTGTGCCTCTTGAGTTTGAGCGGAGGGAGAACCGCAGCTGGGTGTTTCTGGGGGCTTGTTTTCATTCCTGGGGATGGAGGGAGAGAGATGCTCCCCTCACAGCCCCGACCGGCTGGGCTGGCCCCATCTTGCTGGGATCTCCGTGTCCCTCCAGCGGTTCTGGACGCCCCAATCTTCTCCCGGCAGTGACGTGGGGCACGGGGCGCTGCGGAAAGCCGGTCCCGTGCCGGGGAGCCCCTGGGCTCGGGTGCCTGTCCTGGGTTGAAGCAGCCGGGGCCGTGTGGGTGTGACTCGGGGTTCTGCTCCTCCAGCCCGTCCCCGGAGACCTCTCTTTCCGCTCCCAGGCCCCGCTGCTTTTCCCCAGGGCCACCCATCTTTGCAGAGCACCCACGGCTCCTCTCCCCAGCTGGCGGGGAAGCTTGGGGAGCCTGGCAGAGGAATTACCCCGGCGAGGAAGCAGCCCCGAAGTCGGTGCTGGGTGGGGCATTTGGTGCTGGGGTATCCTGCCTGCTGCCTGCCCCAGCACGGGGCTGCTGCCCATCCTGGCCCCCCCAGGTTGCTCCAGGCTCCCCAGCTTTGCTGTGTGTCCATCCCGGCAGCTTGTCCTTACGGGAGTTGGGAATGCTCCTCCCGGCAGCTCGGGGGATGTTGGGGTGGCGTAACCATCACCCCTGCGGCGTGAGGGACCCTGCTGTGAGACTGGGGGTCTGTGGTGGACTCACCCCCCCCTCCCGCTTTGTGGTCTCTGAGCTTTGACCTTGGCAGAGGTCAACATGGAGCTAGGTCCCAGGTGATGGCAAGGCTCTCCGAGTTGAAGGAGAAGCAGCACTGGGGGGGTTTCCCATTGCTCTGGATCCATCTTTTCCACTTAGAAAGTGGGTTTCCCCGTTTCCTCCCTGTCTGGAGAGCACGTCGCTCCCGTTTCGCTCTCGTGCATAGGAAATAGCCCTCTGCTCCCGCGAGGCAGAGCCCTCGCCTTATCTGATGGCGTAGTGGGATGAGCGAGTCTCTCTGGTTTGCACCGAGTGGATTTTCTAGCTTTGCCTGGATTGTTTTGGGCCCGTAGAAAGTTGCTCGAGGGTGATGGAAACAGCCACGGCCCTTTGATCTTTAATCTTGAGAGGCAGCATGTGGAGATGACGTGTCCCGGCGTGTGTCCGGAGCTGCACGCCGGGAGCTGTAGTCGCCGTGTCCTGCCGGGAAGGCTGCCTGCCCCTCGCTGCTGCTAAGCCTGTTTCTTTGCTGCTCAGACCGCTGGTCTCAGGAGGACATGCTGACTCTGCTGGAGTGCATGAAGAATAACCTGCCCTCCAACGACGGGAGCAAGTTCAAAACCACCGAGTCCCACCTGGATTGGGAGAAAGTGGCTTTCAAGGACTTCTCGGGCGAGATGTGCAAGATGAAGTGGATGGAGATTTCTAACGAGGTAACCGACGGCCGCACGGGGCTTGGGGGGGTGGGTTACACCAGAGGGACCCAGCATCCCGCTGACCTCCCAGGGCTGTTTGAATCGCTTCAGTTCATCACCTCGAGTCCTCGGCCCTTAGTGCCGACACCATCCTGCTGCCGCCGGTGTCGCAAACCCCTCAGAGGCGCTGGGACGGGTTGTTCGCGCGGTGGTGTTACGAAACCCTGTGGGTTTACGCCGTGGCGAGCGGGGATCTGCCCTGTACCCCATGCGCAGCCTGTTCACCTTTGTGGTCCTTCATTACCCCGCAGGTGAGGAAGTTTCGAACTCTCACAGAGCTTATTATGGACGCTGAAGAGCACGTGAAGAATCCTTACAAGGGCAAAAAGCTCAAGGTATTGGGGCAGGAATTGCGGTTGGTCTCTAAGGGGGGACCTCACCCTTCCCTGGGATGAGGGGCTGTCACCCATGTGGCACCCTAGACCCGTGTGGCTCTGCCACCGGAGCCCCTGCAGGCACCTCACCACCCGTAATCCCCGCGGCCGGCTGCCCAAGGCTCTGGAGGCCGCGGGCTCTGGGCCCGGGCCAAGTCCAGGGTACATTTAATATGGCCGGCTGTATTGCTGGCAGCCTGCGTCCAAGTTTAGCACCCGGGACGGGGGGGGCCGGGAAGCCGCCGTCCTATTCCTGGCCTGCGGGGTCGGGTGGGGTGCTGCTTTCGGCAACGCAGCCCCAGGGCAGCCGATGCTCTTGCCGCTGGCCCTCCCCGGGATGTGGGTCCTGTCCCTCCTGCCTCAGTTTCCCCTCTTGCAGCACAGCTGCTCTGTGCCAACAGCTCTGGATGGCTGGAGGCTGCTCCCGAGATACCCGGCGCTGGGATGTTGTAGTTTCTGGGCAAGGGAGCCCTTATTCCCTGCGTTTTCCCCCCCTTTGCCTGCAAAGTCAGGCTGTTCCCATGTCACTGGATCGCTAGTGGGACTGGATGGAGGCAGGTCTCCCCCCGTAGCGGGGGGAGCTGGGAGCTGGTGGGGTTTGGCTGTGCCCTCTGCAGTGCTGCCGGCTCCGCACTCAGTGTCTGCTGCTCTGCTGTCTCCCCAGAAACACCCTGACTTCCCCAAGAAGCCCCTGACTCCCTATTTCCGCTTCTTCATGGAGAAGCGGGCCAAATATGCCAAGCTTCACCCCGAAATGAGCAACCTGGATCTCACCAAGATCTTGTCCAAGAAATACAAGGAGCTTCCTGAGAAGAAAAAGGTACGAGGGGAGTCAGCAAGCCCCTTTCCACTTGCGTGCCTCTGCGTGCTGAACTCTGCCTGCCCAGTTCTCCCAGTAAAACCAGCAGAGCCCAGCCTCTGTGTGGCGAGGGTTTAATCTGGCTCTTGACGGGACAAAGCCAAGTGCTTCTTTAGTCCGGTCAGACCAGTAAGACTTCCTTTCCTTTTCCTGTCCTCTTTCCCAGGATCTGTGGGGTGGAGGCTGGCTGGGTCTGTCCGTTGGTCCGTCTCTCCCAGACGGACCTGGATGGTGACTTTGCTGTTGGGTGGATCCGTGTTTAGTGCTGGGGTTAAATCACACACCCCGCCGTGGAGGGCTGGAGGGGCAGGCTCTGCTCTGAGCTGTGGGAGGTGCTGGGCAGGGAGCTCCCCATCCCACCTCCAGCTCTGGAGGCAGCCGTGGGCTTGGCCAGAGCCCAGGCAGGGTTTTGGGGTGCCCCAACTCTCAGTCTGGGTGGATTTGCCACCAGCAGGAAAGGTCCAGGGCACAAAGTCCTGCTGTGCCCTCTTGCCCAGGGCTGTTGGGGTGCAGGCAGATGGGGGCAGATCCTGTGTCTGAATCCCTGGGCAAGCTGGAAACCCTCAGCTGGGAGCTGCAGGACCAGTCTGAGAGGCTGGAGAGCCCTCGAGTCCCTTTGAGGGAGGTGGGGTGCCCAGTCAACAGGGATGTACCTGCCCGCCTGTTCCCTGGTGCTGACGTCCCTCTCCACCTCCCTGGTGGCTTTGTGTCCCCAGATGAAATACATCCAGGACTTCCAGCGAGAGAAGCAGGAATTTGAGAGGAACCTAGCGAGGTTCAGGTGAGCGGGCAGCCCCTCTGTTTCCCCAGGCCCCTCCAGGCAGACCCAGTCTCTCCTCCTGCGTGTAGCTCATGGAGGGAGAGTCCTGGTGAGTGCTGCAGCTTGAAGGCAGAAGGGAAGGGGGGATGCTGGGGGAAAAAAAAAAAAAAAGCAAGGAAAAGGTGTCTGAGGTGTCTGAGAGCAACCCTCCAGCTGGGAGACTTGGCAAGGGGGAGAGAGCAGAGGACCAGCCACGCTCTGGGGGTCTGCAAGGAGAGGACAGGAGTCCTGCCACCGGTGCTGTTAAAAGCCGAACCGACCCCCCCATTCCCCCCAGACCTTCCCTTCAGACACGGTCGCTGTGTCCCAGGTGGGTCCCGGCGTTCCGGTGACCCGCTGCTGCTCCAGGGACTCAGCCCAGCCCAGTGCATTAAAGGGGATGCACATAGCTGGTGCTCCACAAAGAGAGGCAGACTCAAATCTCCCCTCAAACCCTCCTATTCCTTTTGGGGACACACCCCACACACCCCCCCCTGCAGTATCTGAGCCCTGCAGTGACAGTTACCCCTCAGCAGGGAGGTTTAGAGGGTGATCTCCTTCCACCTGCAACCTCCGTAATGCTCTCCCTTCCCTACCTCCCTGCCGGGTAAAGGGAAGATCACCCGGATCTCATCCAGAACGCCAAGAAATCCGACGTCCCTGAAAAACCCAAAACCCCCCAGCAGTTGTGGTACAACCACGAGAAGAAGATCTACTTGAAAGTGCGTCCAGATGTGAGTACGGTGGGTGGGAGTGCGTGTGAGTGTGAGTGTTGAGGGGTGCTGTACCCCGCTGCTGGGGGGAGAGGAGGGGGAAACAAGAGAAGCATTTTAGGGGGGGGAATGGGATGGAAGACACCGCTAGAAGCTCCCAGCAGTCTGGATGGAGGTAAGAAGGGACTCTGCACATCTGGAAGAGGCTCGGGGACACAGACCCCACGTTTTGTCTGAAGTTGAAGGGGTGACCACAGCCTGAGGCAGGGCAGGAGAGATTTCCAGCACAGACATCCACCTCTGGCCATGCCCCACACTCGCACGCACCCCCTTCCCCGGCCACGAGCTCAGCTCACAGCCACCCCACGGCCCCAAGCCGGGTGCCGCTGGGACAAAGTGGCAGGCACACTATTTTTGCCTTTTTTTACTTTTTTTTTTTTTTTTCCCCTCTTCTTTTTTTGGATTTTACCCCTCTGCCCTCACCTCTGGCTTTGGGTTTTCAGGCCACCACGAAGGAGGTGAAAGAGTCGCTGGGCAAGCAGTGGTCTCAACTCTCGGATAAAAAGAGGCTGAAATGGATTCATAAGGCCCTGGAACAGCGGAAGGAGTACGAGGTAGGGAGCAGCCTCACCCGTTCCCCCTCCACACTCGTCCCTACGTTCACTCTGAGCCACTCTGCCTCCCGGCTGCAGCCGCCGGCGGCTAGCCAGCCTCACCCGATAGCCAGCATGGGGGTTCAGCCAGATCCCTGCAATTCCCTAGTGAGTCTGAGCCCTGCCTCCTCCAGCAGTGTTCAGGGAAGGGAGAAGTACCCCTGGGGAGATGATTAGGGTAATGGTTGGCTTCTCTTTTCCTCCTCCTCCGGCCCCCAGCCAGGCGGGGATCGGAGCCCCTCTGCTGACGGCTCTCCCCGTCCTTTGCAGGAGATCATGCGTGACTACATCCAGAAGCACCCCGAGCTGAACATCAGCGAGGAGGGCATCACCCGCTCCACCCTCACTAAGGCCGAGCGCCAGCTCAAGGACAAGTTTGATGGACGACCCACAAAACCACCTCCGTGAGTCCTCTCCCTCCCCGTCTGGGTACGAGGGGTCCGTCTCTCTCTGAGCTCTCACTTCAGGCTCTTGGCCAGCTTGGGTGGGCGCTGGTTCTTTTGAATGAGGAAACTGGGGCTCTGCCTGGCGTTGAGAGGCAATCCCCAATCATTTCTGGGACCGTGGGCATGGGCTGTCGATGACCCCATTAAGTTGGTCCTTAAATATACATTAAATAGATATTTGCAGAGAATCTGAGCGAGGTTTACAGTGATGCTGCGTGCTCTGGGTTAGGGGTAATCCAACCCCTTGCTTCCCTAAAATGCAGCCACCTCTGGCACAGCACTTCACTGCCTGGTGCAGCGGCAACTGGGGGGGGTCTTGGGGGGCTATTAGCACCCAGTCAGCTCCGCTGAGGGGACTTGAGCGGGGCAGGTTGTCCCTAATGCTGGATCTCCCCGTCGGTTGCAGGAATAGCTACTCCCTGTACTGTGCAGAGCTGATGGCCAGCATGAAAGACGTGCCCAGCACCGAGCGGATGGTGCTGTGCAGCCAGCAGTGGAAACTGCTCTCCCAGAAGGAAAAGGACGCGTACCACAAAAAGTGTGATCAGGTGAGCGGCTGAGGGTGGACAGACGGGAGGACAGGCAGATGGGCACCAGTACTGTGGAGAGGGAGGAGCAGGATGGGAGACCTTGGGCTACAGATCTCGCTGGAAATGAGCTCTTCGCCCTTCCTTGGTGCCTGTTTGTTGTGTTTTTTTTTTCTTGACCACCAATTCTCCCTGAGGTCCTTGGTCACCTCCCTTGGTCCTCGGTTGCCCCAGTTCACGAGTGTGGGACCAGCAGGTGGTCAGGGTGGAGGGTGCTGCTGCTGAGGGGGCTGAGGCTGGGCCTGGGACTGCACGAGGCCGGGATGGGGATCGTTGTGTAACCACGTGTCTCCATCTCCCTCCAGAAAAAGAAAGACTACGAGATTGAGCTCCTCCGCTTCCTGGAGGTGAGTGGGGTGGGGGTGCCTGAGCCATCGGGTGCTGGAGACCCCAAATGTGGGGAGGGAGCCCTGGCCAGGGGCTGAGATGGGTTAAACAGGCGCTGCCCTGATGCTGCCCCTCTTCTACTCCCTCCAAAATGTGGCTGGGCTCAGCCGTGGGTGCTGTGCAGAGATGTTTGCACATAGTCTGGACCCTTTGCCCCCTACCTAACCCACTGCCTTCCAGTTGGGCACTGGGAGGTGGGGATGGGTCCCCGTGGCCGGGAGGGGAAGCTGGGGGGTGAGCTGGTGCCGGGGGGGGTGGTTGCTGTTGGCGCTGTGGTTGTGCAGGCGGCAGCGAGTCTTTCGCTTCCTTCCCTTGGCCGGGGCGTAGGCTGGGGGGGAGCTGCGCCGAGGCCGTCCCAGCATCGTGCTTGGCCCCGGGCGGACGTGACGTGGCCCCGGCTGTGTCTGCGAGGGCAGGGGGTGGAAAAAAAAGGGGTGCACTCAGATCCGGGCACCTGCCTGCCCTGCCTTCAGGGAGAGGAAGCAGATGAGACTGAGCCGAGGAGGGGACAGAGCTGGGGAAGAGGAACGTTGCCTGGCGAGGTGGGGGTGACACAGGCATGGGGACCGCCCAGGCTGTGCACCCAGGCTTGCAGTGCCCGATGTTGGCCCTGGCTGGGGTGGCTTTTGGATCAGGACAACTGAGTGCATTAATTCCCTCTCCTCAGTGTCCCTGTTCCCCGATTGCTTCCAAGCCTCGTTAGCATCGGGCCGTCTAACCGTGTCTCTCCTCCTATGCCACCCAGAGCCTGCCCGAGGAGGAGCAGCAGCGGGTGCTAGGTGAGGAGAAGATGCTGGGCAGCAATCGGAAAGGGGCGACAAGTCCTGCATCCAAAAAGTCCTCACCAGAGACCGGCAAGGTGAGAGCAGCAACTGAAGAGACGGGGCAGCGCGTGCCAGAGACATGGGATGGGGCTGCTGGTCCCTCGGGGTGCTCTGAGGGGCTTGTTTCTTGGTTCTTTCACCGTGGTTCTACTGGGTTGGAGGTTACCAGTGCGAGGCAGGTCCCTCTGTGAGCTCACCCCGACCCACAGCCCCGTGTCCCTCCTGCAGGCCAGCTCAGAGAAGCCCAAACGGCCCATCTCTGCCATGTTCATCTTCTCGGAGGAGAAGCGGAAGCAGCTGCAGGAGGAGCGGCCGGAGCTGTCAGAGAGTGAACTGACCCGGCTCCTGGCCCGCATGTGGAACGACCTCTCCGAGAAGAAGAAGGTCGGTACCGTCCCTGACACTTCTCCTCCATCCCTGTTGCTCCTTTGGGCATCTCCAGCAGCCTAGAGGACGCTGCCTGTCCTTGTCCTGCTGTTCCTCGTCCTCAGGCACTGGAGCTGGGGGACAGTTGTCCCTAGGAGCATCACAGCTCCATCAGCCATCACCTAGGCACTGGTGTTGGCACCCATGGGTGCTGCCGGCCATGCCCTCTCCCCTCTTGTGACCTGACGGGTCAAAACTCACAGCTTAAGAAGCCTCGGAGGGTCCTTGGGCCTGAATGATGGTTTTGCTGGTGGGGGGGCGAATCCTGAGACTTGGATGTGGGGCTGCCACTGCTACCATGGGGACAGCCCCGGGGGAAGCCACAGCATCCTGCTGCCTGCCCTCCTGGTGCTTGGTGGCCAGGGGCTTGTGCCAGGTGGCCAAGCTGTCTCTTCACCCCCACTGCGCCCCCTCCACCCTGCACAGGCCAAGTACAAAGCGCGGGAGGCGGCGATGAAGGCGCAGTCGGAGAAGAAGCACGGCTCAGATAAAGAAGAGCGCGGGAAACTGCCTGAGTCTCCCAAGACGGCCGAGGAGATCTGGCAACAGAGCGTCATCGGGGACTACCTGGCTCGTTTCAAGGTGAGGGGTGGGCTGGGAAAGGGGCTGGAAGGGGGATCATCGCTCCAACCAGCAGGAATCACGTTGTGCCTTCTGCCCTGCTTTCACACCTGAGGTGACAGGTTGGGGCTGGGAGCCCTGGGGGGGCCGGGGGTCGCAGCAGGGGAGCGGGTGCCCCGTGGTCAGAGCCAGCGGCAGCACCCTTGGGTGCTAAAGTGTCACGGGGCTCTCTGTGCCACAGAACGACCGGGGCAAAGCGCTGAAGGCCATGGAGGCCACTTGGAACAACATGGAGAAGAAGGAGAAGCTGATGTGGATCAAGAAAGCGGCGGAGGATCAGAAGCGATACGAGGTGGGTCCCTGCTCCTTCCTGCCCCTCACCGGGCCCCTGTGGCCAGCGCTGCCCTGTCTCCCTGACCCCTCTTTCTCCTCTGGCTCAGAGGGAGCTGAGCGAGATGCGGGCCCCTCCATGCTCCACCAACTCCGCCAAGAAAATGAAGTTCCAGGGAGAGCCGAAGAAACCCCCCATGTGAGTGCCTGGGGTCTGGGCTTTGAAAAATTGGATCTGGCTGGGCAAGGGGAGGGCTGGTGCAGAAGAGCCTGGAGCAGCCTCGGGGTGGAGGGAGTGTGGGCTGGACCACGGTGGGGATGGGTGGTGGTTACTGCAGGCTGCTTGTGGCCACCTTGGTTCTCCGTGCCCAGCATCTGATCCGGGCTCTGCGCTCCCCCCTCCTTGCAGGAACGGTTACCAGAAATTCTCCCAGGAGCTGCTGTCGAACGGGGAGCTGAACCACCTCCCGCTGAAGGAGCGGATGGTGGAGATCGGCAGCCGCTGGCAGCGCATCTCCCAGGGCCAGAAGGACCACTACAAAAAGCTGGCGGAGGAGCAGCAGAAACAGTACAAGGTGCACCTCGACATCTGGCTCAAGGTGAGGGCCCGGCCCCGACGTGTGGTGACGGGCACTGGGATGCTCAGGGGCCGGTTGTTCTTGGGGACGCTTGACATGGTTCCAGCTGAGAGCTTTCCTCTGGGAACCACCATCTCCAGACCCTTTTTTTGGCACTTTATAATTTTAAAATACTGTATTTCGGGAGGGGGTGCCCCATGCTCGAGTCCCTCCCTGCGCCCTGACTGTCTTCCCTGTCTCCGCAGAGCCTCTCACCCCAGGAGCGAGCTGCCTACAAGGAACACACTTCCAACGTGAGTATCCCCCCAGCGCTGCCGTGGGGAGTGGGCTGGGATCACCCTGACTGAGATTAGGCTGTGTGGTAGATGAGCTGAGCTCAGGAAAACCCCTCAACGGGATTCACCCCCATAGCAGCTGGCAGTGGGGTTTTCTCTGTGCCGGGCTCTGGGAAGGAGCCGAACTCGAGCTCTGCAGCTCTAAAAGGGTTTTGTTTTGTTCCCCCCTCCCTGCAGAAACGCAAGAGCATAGGGAAGATCCGGGGTCCCAACCCCAAGATGAAGCCAACGATGCAGTCCAAGTCGGTGAGTGCGCGACCGCCGTGCTCCGTGTCAGGGACACCCAGCACCCTCCTCCCTGGGGGGGGTGTCCCGGGGGCACCCAGACCTCTTGTTGGAGGTGTCCCCGGTGCTTTCTGCTGCCTGCCCTCTCCTTGAGACAATCCACCAAAGGCCCCTCCCCACATCTGTGCTCAAAACCCACCCAGGTCTGATTTTTGCCCCCCCGCAGTTTATGACATCCCCTTGCACCCGCTCCGGGGAGCTTTTTTGGGGCCGTTTGTAACATAAATGGGGAAAAGTCTCCCAGGCAAGGTGTTGAGTAGAAGC